TGAGTACATTTGTTTGAGGTGTCAATTTGCCCCCCTTTCACCAAGCCTACTGCTTTTTGCTCTACACTTGTTTAGCTTGTTTTTGTCCTCTTTACTCATACACAGCGTTGCAGCTGTTCTCCGTTGCTGCAAGGATGACTGCACTATGCTATCGTTTTAACGCTACATGGCGAAATGTAGAGCGACAACGATACAGCGCACCCATTCTGGAGAAGCCCATTGGGCCAAAACGTTGCGCCCAATGTTTGGTCTGACATCGGCCAAATAAACTGGTGAAATAGAGATTAGTCAACTTTGCTCCTGCGTAAATCTGTGCCTTATGGCCTTACCGTTTATGGCCTTTGGGTGTTACGTTGCCTGCCGTCTTCGCAACATTGCGATGCATTTTTTGCCAAAAACATTTTCACCCATGCTTTTTACAATTAGGTGCCTTATTCTTTAATAATATCACCTTCGCCAGCATGTGGAAGCGCAAATACCATCTAACAAATTAATTAATATTTGCATGTTTGTTAAGCCTTCAAGACTAACAACTGCAATGCTGACGTGAGAAAAATCACTATACCATGCTAACCACAAAGTAACTGGTTTATAAGACAAAACACCACATAGAACGCGGGTGCCTTTTTAACATAACTAATTCCTTTCCATGCCAGTTCGAAGCTAAACAGGGTTTTAGCATTTACTCATTTGGACTGTTAAACCGCGCGTACAATAGAGTGGTGGTGGGTTGTGTCAAATCCCAACTCATCTTCAGGGGCTTTAGATCAAATCCTTGTTCACAAATCAGCGTTTTGTGCTGTTTCTGCATTGCACAGTATTAACACAAAATTATCAACCACATTTATAACTGCTATCTGTAAGCTGCTGCTACACCCTTTTCTTATGTTGACACCTTTCATTGAGACCAACAGCGCTCAAGATGGCGCTCGAGTATAATATGGGCAGGCATTCACACAGTAGCTCTTTCTCCCATATTGAGTTGCTAGCTTGGGGTCGGCGGAAGGCCATTCTGGAGGGATCAGGTCCTTATAGCTGCACTGCGTGGACTACTACTGGTCAGTCATGTCGCATTACGGATGTCGATATGAATTCAGACACCGACTAGCTATCGCCGCTGAGTGAAGAGTGATAAGCTGAACTTTATCTTGTTACTACAATATCTTCTAGTAATTTCGAGAAAATTCGGGGAAGCAAACTAGAACAATGCACATAAATCAAAGTAAACTATAACAAAAAACAAGTCCCGGCTACATTCTCAATACCCTGCTACAGAGAAGAGAAAATAAATTCGCTGACCTCGGAGCGTTGTGCTTATTTTATCTCAAGGTGCGCTACATAGCCACTTTTAATAGGTTGTAAATTACCATAATCTCATCACTTGAATTTATGAGCACATTCAAAAGATTCAATGGTTCAAACACCACACTTTCATATCCCTGAGTACCAGTCATTTTACATTTATATTTAAAAATCAAACTTTCACCATATGCATATTTTGATCTCTGATATCTAAATTAGCAACAAAAACCTTCTAGCATTAAATTTATCTAGCATAGTATCTTTGCCAGATAGTTAGTTAAGCGTAAATTTGAAGTTTTTCTGCCTCTGTGTAATGTAAACAAGTGCACTATTAGCTGCGATAGTAGACAAAAAGTCAAGTTTTCCAAGTTTTTCAAAGATAAAAACAAAGAATCTTCCTTCAGTCTATTAACGATAGATAAAACGTAAGATTATATATATAGGTGATGATTAGAACTTGCTCCCTGAAATGTCTTTATATAGCGGACTCAGACTTCAGCAACTCTACTGAGACCTTTCATATTGATTTTATTACATTACTCCAAGTACCAAGCTTTGTTGTGGGAAGCTTATATAATATAATATATAAATATATAATATAACTATATAAAATAAAGGTATACTGTATTATTTATATATATACTTGGAATTGGCTCGGAGGATATGGATTTATTCCTCTTCTACCTTATATACTCTCATTATCTAGATTATCTCTCTCTGTCTTGTCTCATCTCTATCTCTACTATCGTCGTCTGTTTCTTCTTGTTTTTGGTTCTACTTGTGAGAATGTTTATCTATATTTACTTACTGCTTTATTAAATTTTGCAGCATTATATTTAGATCTCTGTGATAGTATAATATAGTAGTTGAGTGCGTGAGTTCTTCGTACTTTTTTATACTTCAGACTCTTTTATTGCGGCTTAGTATTAATATAGTGATGTCTAACTTTTATAATGTTTGGGATCTTACTATATATTGGGACCCTGTCTATTCGTGTTATCAATATAATCTGTAATATAAAGTGACGTGTTTTGAGGAGGTTGGAGTAAGGTTTTATATCTTACGCTTGACAGGGGTTTTTTAGGATTTCGATTTGAACAAGGTGTTATGGACAGTAAATAAACAAGGTGATGCGATATCAGCGAGGGATAACTGGTAGAGAAATAAAAGATACATCAAAATTATGGAACATCATGTTTTTATCTATTGTACATTCTTTGAGGTGTAGTTCAACGCAAGGTGAGTAATGATGATGTGTGTTATTGGTTAGGTTTATATGTGTGTATGTATAAGAAGCGTGTTTCGATATGAGTGAGGAGTACGGTGAGTTTTCTATATGTTCGATCTCTGCGATCGAGGATTTCGAAGTAGAGATTTTTCAAAGGCGAGTACAAGAGGCGGACGCGGTGAGTGCGAGAGTCTGTGTTAAGGATGTCGAGTGTATTGGTGGTATATATATATAGTAGACGCGCGAGGGATTACTGTATCAAATGAGACGGTAATACAGCGGATACTAGACTTGCTTATTCATTATTCTTCAGATTGTACTTAGTGGTTATAAGAGTAACCAGTTAAGATGGAACGAATTTTTGCCTTTTGTATTGACTATCAGTTTTTTGTGTATTGATTTAGTGGTTTGTTATTTATATACTGTATTATAAAAGTGATAGTGGATGTTTATGATGTGCAGATGATGGGGTCTCAACGAGCGGCAGTTTATTGGTTAGTGACAGAATATGTGAGTCGAGTGGAGTATCTGTAGTAATTAAGTTAGATATAGTTTAAAATTCGGTTAATCAAGTATTCGCATTTTTTGATGGCCGCGAGAGAGTGATAAGAGGAGCTCAATTATGTCGCGCACTGAGTACAGTTGTTTTGAGTTTTCACTGCCACCCTCATTTGGTTTCACTAGTCCTATCTGCATTTGTGGTGCCACACTTTGATTTAGTCTTAGTTTTGTAGTGTTTATTTCCTATGATATTTTATTTTTTTATATTCTGGTAACACAGTGCCAGCTTATGGTTCTCCGTCTTTGGCTGCTTCGTCGTAAATGGTATATTTGGTTCATGCTACATTAATGTTTGGTTGTGAACGTAACAGTATGACCGCATTAATAATGAGGTTCTGATAAATGTTGAACTCAGTGTGAACATGGTTTATAACTCTGGCCAACAAATGAGCTACTTGTGAGTCCAGTTAACTATTATTTACAAGCCCCAGATCACTTGTAAATTACACTGTGTGAACCTGAATAAACTAAATGCACAAAAAGAGCAACAAAAGCAAAATGTTCCACTCTGGTCACAGTAAATGAGGTGAGTTGTAGGTGTGGGTCTCATACTTACACTGAATTAAACAGATAGGCTCTTCCTTGACTGCCTTGAAATGACTGAAATGAGAGAGAGAAAAAACCATGTAAGCAGACAATACACCACACCGCTGAGTACAAGAATGTCAGCAACTGATGCCCTGGGGTGCTTTTCTCCCAGTTACTGCTGTGCATACTTGTTCTTCCACCTTGTCAAGGTTCCCACACACAAGCTTGGCTGGAGGTAAGAAATAAAAATGAGGCTCAGAGAGGTGCTGAAGTCTGAGCACGTAAACATCAGGGAGCAAGTCTATCATCACCACGTCAACTTTAATGACGAGAGATTCTTGTTTCTTGAAAACTGAACTTGGATTTGTCTCATATCCAGTTAGCACTGTTACATCAGAGCAGAAAAACTTCAAATTTACCTAACTATCTGCAAAATACTTGCTAGAAATTAATCTAAATGGCGTTGTTGAATTGATTACAGGTCAAAATACAGGTGAAAGGTTGATTTAAATAAATGACTTGCCAAAATCAATGAGATTACATAAAATCTAGATAAAAATCTAGGTTTTCCTGCAAATTCAAGATGTCAAGCTTTGTTGTTGACATGCAGTGTTACAGACATTCAGCGTATTTGTAGAACAACAAAGCAGTTTTTACAGCGGCATCTAACAGCTGATAGAAGACACTTTAATGCCTGAACAGTAATGAGCATCTGAGCTATCTCAATGAAATGTCAATAAAAAAGCACAGCTAAGATACAGTTTAGTGTGATATTGTGTAAACTGTGCATGCACACACACAC